TAGCCAAATCCCTAATTCTATATCTTAAGAGTGGTTATCTTAAGTGTGAGTTTTAGGTTCTAGATATTTAATTAAGTGTGTCATATCTTAATTAAATTCTAGATTCAAACCCCAAGTTAGGAAAGAGTGTGTAATATCTCTTAAACACCAACTTGGTTTATCCATCCCTGAATTTTCTTCCATTTCATATCCCCCCATTTCTCCTCTTAATCTCACTCTTTTCTTCCACTAAAATACCCAAAAGAACTCCCTCATCAGCCCCATATATTTCCAACCCATTCCCCACAAAAGCGCCTTTCTTCCTGCCCAGAATCACTGCGAAATAATCGATTATTATTCCCCATAATCGATTATCAGTTCCATTGGAAACATCTGCAGGCAGTAATAATCGATTATCCCCTTAAGATAATCGACTATCACTCATTCCCAGAAAATCTGCAGCCTTCAATAATCGATTGTCTATTTCTGTTAATCGATTATCACGTCCCCCAGGATTCCTGCAGTCTCTACAATCGATTGTCTCCTACTATCAGTCGACTATCAGCCCCTCCTGAAGTTTAACGGCTGTTTTGGTTTGCTACCAATTCCTCCGTAATCCCGCCCTCAAATTATCTAAATGATAAGACCCCGGTTTCGGGCCTAACACAAATTCCTTGTGCAATGGCCATCTGTTCAGCTTCTGCCCTACATTTTGACACCACACTATGCTTTACCACATATCAACATCTTCTATAGATTAGCCCAACCATCATTCTGCAATTCTTTCAACTAACCAACTACTCGTATTTGTTTATGAAACAATATTCCCTTATTTAGAGTACCTCTTAGATGTATAAGAATATTATCAAAAGCACATTGATAGAATGCATAGTGGCTATCTATATCCACTAGGCATTGACAGCTTTCTTTTTTCGCCAGAGGATCATTCTCCAAGATCTTATGTTTCCGGTTTTCTCAATTGGAGTTGTGACTGGAAACAGCTCAGCTTCTTTGTTTTTTCAACAGATCTAGAATGTCTGGCATGCTCTTTTTGAAATGAGCAAAGGCCGACCACCTTTCCCTGATACCATGTAAACTGGAGCAGAAAAAATATGGCCGAAGAAAAAAAGGGCAGAAATGGTTTAAGAAATTCTGTTGTTTTCCCTCTAGAAGGAATTTACCGTCATGTGCATCTTCAGATATTCAATATAAGAGAGATTCTAACAATATAATCCCACCAGTTCTGCTAAAAGAAAAGAAGCTAAATCACATATATACAGCTCATAAATATGGAAACTAGTAGCATAAGATCAGACAATAACTTATATAACAGAATCTTTCTTATTTTATCTCTTTAACAAAAGAAAATGGGGAAGGAATCTTGTTCATTAGTGATGCTACAGTACATTATATAGCAGAACTCACTCTGGTTAACACTTCCTAACAAAAGAAACCGAGGAAGGATTCATTTTCAGTTATGATGCACTTTCTCAAAGTTTTATACTGTCATGCTATAATATACTGTAATTTGTATTGCAGGCTGGATACTTTTGCTCAGTTTGTGAATGTGTTGTTAAAGATTCTGCAAATTACTTGGACCATATCAATGGCAAAAAGCGTATGTGTTTTTACCTAGGACCACCAAGTTGTTTTTTCATTTTTGTCTGTTTTTAGTTTAATGCCTTAGTTTATTATATTTTCTTGTCTATCTTTAGACCAACGAGCTTTGGGTATGTCTATGCGAGTGGAGCGGGCATCTTTGCAGCAAGTAAGCAGCATGTACATATTTGTTTATCTAACATTCTTGTTTGTATAGGTACACTGCACTAGTGTGTGTTGGATTTCACTGCTGGCCAAAATGTTTGGAAAAGTTTTTATCTTATGATACATCTTTAAACTTATCTGCATGTTATTTTTAGAATTTGTTTTACATCATTTAGATCACTAGAAATTATTGAATCCCCTGCAAGTTTTTGAATGTCAAAATCCAGCTTCAAGGTGGTCGTTCTTTGCTCATGAGATGTAAGCCTCAAATCAATGATTAAAATAATTTTCAATTGGGGTAAAAGATAGATAATTCATCCTGGCAGTTCAATGACATAAAATATTGGAAGTATTTAAATCAAAACAGGCATAGTAATACTAGTGTTATAAATTAAGATAAAAGAGTAGTCAATAAAGCATATGAAAATAGAAGGATAAATTGTACTTGATATTTTCAAATCATAATAAAAAATTAGTTAAAAAATTGCGACGTTAGAAAGAATAAAAAATTACGGAGTATATTTATAAAGGGCAAGGTTCTTTTGACATCGGTTATCAATGTCAAAAGTAACCCGGGGCACCTATGGTGCTCCGTTGGTAAATTTGGTGGTTCCAACCCCCCTGATCATTGATTTAGCACTGCCCCGTGTCATATTAATGATATTATGACATTGAGAACCAATGTCAAAAGATCCCAAGTGATTTTTAAATCAAACAAGTGGAAAAGTACTTGTGCAAATTAATTTAATCCATATTGAAATAACTGATGTAAACCTTAAGTAAATTAAAAATTTGGAGGTTAGAATTTTTAAAATTTAAATTTAATTGATTTACTAAAAAAATATTCATATTTTATTATGTATTTCTGTAAAAGAATATTTTAATACGGTTCACCAATCTTTAATTAGTTTATTCTTGTTGACATATAGTCTCATCAAAATATTCTTCCCAAAGTCCAAACTAGTATTGAACAAATAAAGACTGAATTTCATGAATTACCAACGATATTTGTTAACAAAAAACTAATTTTCATTAATTACCAACTGCAAGTGTTATCTAAAACCTCTAGTTATACTATTTTCCCCCTCCTATGTGCAGTCTTCATTATTGTGCTCTGCACCTGCCTTTTTTATATTCTTGGCAAAGCTATGCCTCACAAGGCATTCCGTCCAGATGGTCTGTATGCTGGAGAGGGATGATTTCCCTATAGCTGTCACCTGAGAAACCATGTTGTATTGCAGGGGAAATAGGGGAAACAATGAACCACATCAATGAAAAAACAATGGAAAACATAGCAGTTAGAACGAACGAGGAGGAAGAGAACCTTAGTTATAGGTTATGGTTAGAACTCATACTACCTTTGATTAGTTTTCCAACAGTCACATGATCACTGAACAAAAAAAGAGCTTGAGATCTCATTTATGTCCCATACGAACCACCAAGAAGCCTATATGGAACTACTTAAATTTGCCTACACAGGTGAATGCATTAAGTCTTCTGCAAGTGTCTCTCCTCTGGTCTTACACTCAGCTTCAGATCTCATTTCTGTTCCTTTTTACTGTAACCCCTGCCATCTTCTTCCCCCATATTTTTCTTTCTTGAAATCAAATTTTAAGCCTTGTGCGGCTCTCATCCTCAGTGCATCAACACCTTATAAAACAGCAAGGCATAGCCTTTGTGTCTTGCCAACAGGTCTTAAGCATCTAGTGTGGTTTCTTACCATGGTTGTTAAGTCGACAGGTTGAGTCGAGTCAGTGACGGGGAGACTAGTGGACTAGGCGATTAGTCGTAGACTAGTTGACAAATCACAATTAGTATTGAAATTTTTAACATTATATATATCTACATTAACCCAACATGAATATATATATATTTATATGACAAAATACCATAACCAAAGCAAACTTATGTTTAAAGATAACACATAAAGCAAACTTATGTTTAAAGATGTAGACGGAAGTCAACTTGGGTTGGGTCAAATTGGGCAATTTCTTTCAGCGACAAAGGCGTCGCCTATGTGTGACTAAGTTTCGCTTTGCACGCTTTATTGCCTAGTCTGCCCTAGGTGCTAGTCGAAGAGCAAAGCGTCATCCCAAAACTGCCCGGACGACTAGTCGGCGACTAGTCGTGGCCTAGGCAACGACTTGACAACAATGTTTCTTACTGCCTTTGCGTTGCAGATGCACAAGTGGCATTTGCTCTCCAGGAAGTATTGGGACACAAATGGAAATTTGATGAGAATGGGTCTACATAATTATTAAATACGGAGTAAGAAAAAATGAATATGATCTGGTGGTGGTGCTCAGGTGGTGCTACCACTTGTCTGAAACCTATATCCTAAAAATCCAAAATTGAGATGCAGACCACAAATTTAGAGGGTGAGAAGTTATTTTTCTTCTTAGTGTTATGATAGCTGGAGATATCAGATCCCAACACTGTTTAAGCTGCACCAAACACCCACAAAAGGGTTTTGATATATCCTGATATTAGAACCCATATGTACTACTACGTTCACAAAATGTTCCCTTATAACTTATAGGTCGTAAATTGTATGCCAAAACAACTACGTAGTAATTTCAAACACCTAGTTAGGCGGTGTTAAACATGGTACAACTAGACATATGTGGATTATGGATTCAATTACAATTTAATTACCAATTTGTCTACAATGCAGCAGTTAATGGCAGCGCTGTATGGCGGACTTTTGTCCATTCATGGCAATTTTGTAACTCTTGGCCGACATGCTCATTATGATTAAGAATAGTGCTCATTCCATTTAGTCCTTTTGTGTTTATCATGTTTTTGTTTATATTATTCTGCTCATTTTTCATGTAAGGAATGCTCATTTAGTTGTTGAGAATGCTTATCCTACCTCCAAAGAACACCCATTTTTAATTGTTGGGTGTATAATATACCTACTCCATTTGCCATTAATAAAACTGCTACGAAGTCCATTGGAATGTTATATAATAAGATGATTATATTTATATCTCTGAGAATATTTCAGGTCCAAGAGCGATTTGAAACGATGAAGAAGCGTAAAGATAGTACAAGCATTACTGTGCAAGGTGGGGCTTAAATAGCAACACGACTCAGTTCAAGCACAATGGTGTAACATTTCATTAATGAGAAAATTGCAATTTTCTTGTGTATATATGACTTTTTTTTTGCAAAGCTTATTAGAGGAAAAAGGAAACCAAATGAAACTAAAAAAATATTGGTTCATTCTATTTTCTTTTCAGATTTTGAGGAGCGGATGCTGAAACAACAACATGAAGAGGAGGAGCGGAAACGACAACGTCGAGAAAAGAAGAAAGAGAAAAAGGTCAGCACATATTCTTAAAAAACCCAATCTGGCCTTTACCTTTGAGCATGATATCTTCAATGTTAGTTATCTGTGTTGGCCATCTTCTGCAACATATCTTGACACCATCTTTTTCATATATTTCTTTTATAGAAAGAGAAGGCAACAGAGGATGAACCTGAAGAAGACTCTGATATTGCAGCCATGATGGGATTCGGAGGTTTTCGAACATCTAAGAAGTAATCTGGCTCTTATTATGCCTATTTTAATCGGCTTCCCTATTCTGTTGTCTTTTTTATAGCCGGATGTTTACTTTTACTCGATACAGCATGTGCTCTACACCTTATTTTTGCAGAAGAATTCACTATAATTGGCAACAAATGTTAACCGTATTTCGAGTGCGTTTATTATTTCGGAGGTCATTACCAAATGTATATTCGTGAATCACCTAACTATGTGAGAGGGTTATTGATTAAGAGCCAAAATTCTATAGGTCCTTAACCACCCCCCTCCCTTCCCACTTCTACCGAGGGGGTAAGGACCTTTTGTTCCATGACCTTTATTACAACTTCAAAACCTGCGATTGTTGCAATCTTATGTGAAGGCTTTCCTTTGTTTGTCCTTGTAAGTAAATACTTCAACTCTTTCCTTTTTTATGACGGCATTCATTAAAAACTACTAGAATTTGCAATTTATTTGAACAAGGTTTTTTGTACTCCGTAGTGATTCAAAATATGTGATTCTAAGAAACAATGGCAAACGCCCCATTGTGGCTTGCTGAATACGGAGTACATCTCTGATGTGCTAATAGAAAGATAATATTGATTATCTTTTAGTGTAGGACACATAATAAAGTTAATATATGAATGGAACACTAAACTTCTCTTCTTACTTTTGTGAAGTTCTGGGCATTTGCTTATGATGGGTTGTTGTTGCTTTAAAAAATGTAGTAATTGTTAAAGTGAATAATTGGATGTCTAAAAATCGGATGAAGCCAAATGACCTAGGCTATCTGCATGCAAGTATGGTTGTGTTGGAGATAGCAAGCTAGAAAGAGGGAGGGCATGGGTGAAGGGGAGGAAGCAGTTGAAGACGAGATGAATCAATAGACAAGATGCAAGGGGGGATAATTACTCCCCCAATTATTTTTTTAAAGTACTTTCTTTGTCCTAATTTAAATAATCTGTGGATTAATTTCAATTCAATTTATGTGAAAATTGAAGCAAAATTAAAAATTATATACGTCAAATGCTCTACAAAACAAGAGGTATTTTGACTATATTATTTTATCAAATAACTAACGAAAAATAGAGAATAAAATTGAATAAATTTGACCATGTAAATAGTAAACAAGTAATTTAATTTAAGACAAAGCAAATCAATTATGCCCCACTAAGAAAACGGGATGCCCCCTATAATCTTTTGCAATTTTGACTTGTTTAAAAAAAGACGGAAAAATTTTTAAATGTTTAATTGAAAATTAGTTTTAATAACCTATTTGTGTATAATTTTTAAACTTAAAAGTATTTATTTACTTGAATATAAATTATACGTACTAATTCATGATATGAAGAAAAAATTTAATACTACTATTGTTGTTTCATATTGTCTTTAAAAAATCAGGAGCACTATCCTCAAACCCCTACCCTATTATTACTCCCAATCCTCCCATTTTCACTAGTCACAGGGAAAGATCTATAAGGAGTNGAGTGCAACGAAATTTGTGTTGGCAGTGCCATGTGTCTAGAGGTCACTGGGGCTAGGGACACGGAGTAAAGGAGGGTGCTAGGAATTATTTATTCTTATTAGAATCATACCAAATAAATTTTTTTGTAAATATAATCACAATCAAATCATATCCGAATTAACCAGATAAGCTAAAGAGAGCAAGTCCTTGATAGACAAGGGGATGAACAAGGTGAAGCTTATTCTTAACCGTGGAACTGAGATTTTTCATTCGCCAACACCTAAAAACCCCAAAGGAAATTAATTATAATCATAGACTCGTCGAAAAGATTTAGTACAAGGAGCTAAACCCGGGTTCAAAAGTGAGGTGGGTGGGTAAGCAGTTTGTGGAGAATAATATAATTTCCACCAACTGAATAAATCTATTTCAATAACAAGCTGCACGCACCATCCCCCCCGGTGCCATAAGAAATAAATCTACTCACAAGTTTCTGCAAAACTCAGTAATCTTGTACTACTACTAAAAGAGGAATTTGTGCAATACAGTATTTGTAGAAAGAACCCCCCCATATCTCCCTGCAAGCCTGGGTGGGTGGTCATTGTGAGCCTTTCAAGATTGGGTGTTTTCTCAGTATGCATCTGATTGCTCAAATGGTACGCGTACAAATAACTGCCCGTGCAGGGTGACCACAGCCGATGTCTGAAGAGGATCGATTCTTGAAGGCAAGCTGACTACCTGCAATTCATTTTCACTCTTGTTAACCCCGATCTCATCAAAGGATATACTCCCTCCGTCCCAACCTAATTTGCCCGTTTCGGTTTACGATGTTTGACTAAAATTATTTTCAACTCATACTATATGAAAATTGGTGTGGAATCTGAAAATGAAATTAATACTTCTTCCGTCCCTTAAAACTTTTTACCTTAACATGGGTAATTTTGATACTCCCTCCGTTCTATAAAAGTGTTCCTATTTTGACTTTGTGTAAAAATAAGGAAGTGTTAAATTGTAGTTGACTTTCAATTTTGCCCTTGATGTGATGGGTAAAAGTAAGATGTGATGGATTGAGTATTAGAGAAAAGGTATGATGTGATAGGTAGGGTATGAAAAAGTCAGGGTAAAAGAATAGAAAGTGGAAGTGTTTTGTTGGAAGTAAAAAAAAATGAAAGAGGAAGAGTTTTTGAGAACGGAGGGAGTATTATTTTTTTAATTATGACTCATTTATCCTACACATCATATCCACCTTGCTATAACGCAAGGACAAAATTAGAAAATAAAATTAAAAGTAGTTAAAGTTTGACTCTGTGAATAATGAATATACAACTTCAATTGGGGTAGAGGGAGTATCAGTCATATATATACTCTTACTATCAAAACACCCATTTAAAGTGGCTTCAATGAAAACTTAACCACAGCTAATTCTTATAAAACAAACCTTTTTGAACGGAGTAACACCCCAGGGATTATCCAATTGCTCTGGTTGACCGGATATAACCAAGCATCCGGCTGGATCAGACTGCACACGCACCTGGTTAATTTTGTTAGGGGAAAGATTAAAGTTCAATAATTATGTTGCAAAACTTGTCTAGCATGGTTTCTCGCACCTACCAAAGATACAATTGAATGTAGAACTTTATATAATCGTAAATAAAGAATATTTGTATTTGTGTTATATATAACAAAGGTAAAGCCCAAGTGATCTTGTTTTGTAAAACGTTGTGATTACTCTGATTAGTTGGTATTGTAGACTCAAAAATGAAATAATATTTTTGGATTATTACCTTCAAAACAAAAACACAACAAGAAACGAGTAATATGTTAATCCCTCCGTCCCAAATAGAATGCCACAATTACTATTTCGGCATCTCGATAACTTTTGTTTGTTTACTCATTTTAGTTGACCATTTGATAAAATAAAATACTCTTGTCGCATCTTATTTTGTAGAATTTTTATGTACTATTAAACGATTAGTTTTAAAGTTTTATTTCTTTACCAATTTATAAATAAAACGATTTTAAAAGAGATGATATTTTGCACGTCCATCGAAACGTTGCAAACAATTTAGGACAGAGGGAGTATTAGAGTTATTGGCATGTTTTCAAGTGGATATAAACAAAAGGTTTCATAATTATTCACTGTTTCCAAGCACTTCCATAGCTTTGCATCAGGAATGAGAATAACCAATCATTTGTACACTGAAGAGAGAGTTATCAGATTACCTCCTCACGTAAAAGGCCAGGTACTAATGCATATACTTCAAAGCAATCACTCTGTGCAAGCACATTTTGCCAAACATATTAACTTAGATGGAAGAAATAGCAAAACATAAGTGTGTGTGAGTGTAGTGCGAATATGAGAATGGTGCATTTTCAGAGCTTCGTGATGCATTTTACACTTGTAGTAGTGCATTTTGGAAAGTTCAATTTGTTTACGAAATTGCCACCGTTGACTTTTTCAAATTTTTTAGATTTTTTTTTATTTTTAATAGCCCTTAGATCTTAAACCTAATGGTATGCATTCTCATTTTTTCATTGTGCATCATTCTCATTTGAACCAAAATCTGTGTGTGTGTGTGTAAAATGGTGCATAAAGAGCATACAGTTTTCTGAATATTAATCTTCACCCAGTCAGCAGGAGCCCCAATATCAGTGATCATTGAATCTGAGCTGCAATCATAAACTAAAGTTTACATACCAAAGCCAAGTAGGTAGCTGACTACTGAAAATAATAAAAAACTGATTGTTTGGCACTTTAGCATAACTAAACCCTAACTAGAGAATTAGGTACTACATATGAAAAAATAAATTAAAATTTCATTTCAAATTGCTTTTTTCTTTACATGGAAACAACGCATTAGGTATTGTGTAGAGCATTTAGCTTTATATCAGCAACAAAGCATCAGAAATCAGTAAAATATATAGTTGTAGGGATCCTGCATGACATTAGTCATGCAGTGTCTTGAACGAAATCATTCAAAAGCAATCAAATTTAGTTCTAGAATTTTGTAACATTGTAAACATATCTATATATTAACATATAAGGTAGTTTGCATGATAATGACCAAATAATCTAGAGATCAGTGAATAGCAAATCCATAGAGATCTTAACTGTGTTTTTGGAATTTTCATGGGTGTGGCTTTGGCAACATCATCGACAGGAGACAGCTTTTTGCGCTTTAGCAAGCCTAATAAATAAGAAATTACTAAGAAACAAATAAAACAAGTACTACGAAGGAAACAGGAAATAAAATTTTAAATTTTCATTAAATATACCAAGAGTCTTGACATGTTTCTCTCGCTTGGGAGTTGAAACCGATGTCTTTTCCTACAAAGTTAAGAAAGAAGGGAAAATGATACAATAAATCATGGCTTTACTGAAAATTTACACAAGCATGTAGAAGAAAAAACTTGAGGATTTGAGTTTATAAGCATCTCTACAAATACCTTAACGATGGGATCTCCAATCTCACCATTCCCAAAAAGGCGTTGAGAATGCCAACCTTGCATAGCACGTGCTGCAGCATCTCTTCTTGCTCTACCAGACCCCAGTGCCTGATTACCCTGCAAAAGATGTGTCTTCTAGCTTGTATGGAACAGATTTAAGAAAAATCCTCATAGCTGGTCTAATGTCGCAACAATTACAAAGATCTTTTTCTTCCATCTTTTTAAATTTTACATAAAAAATCAGAAACTACTTTCACACAATTAAAAAAATGAGGTATTAAAAACAAAGAGAGTTTGCCCCAATCCAAGTTGTAGTGTATCATCACATCTGTCAAATATGAGCCCCACTTAGCTTCTATGTTTCTATGTCTAGTGTTTCTTAATAAATTTGCAGCGTAAAAATATACTCCCTCAGTCCCCAAATTAAATTGACACTTTCCTTTTTTGTCCATCCCATACTAAGTTCATACATCTCTCCTTTCCCTTTAAGGAAAAGAAAAAGTAGCTCATAGTATTTTTCTCTTCTAATTTCCAAACACACACTTTTTACTATTTAAAACTTTTCTTAGACTCATTAAGTCAATCCATGAATTAAATTTGGAGATGGATGGAGAATCAGCCAATAAATATATAATATAAGTGACATGACTCCATTTACCTTTTTACAAGAAATTTCGTGAAACACTATAGCACAAAATATTGAAGTATATCCTTCACTATTTTTTATTTTTGATTAATTATTCCAGTACATCCGATGGTTTCTTATCGTCCAGGTATCACATGATGAGGGCATATTGATCATCATAAAAACAGATGCTGAGCATAATATTAGTTCATACATTTCAAGTTTTCAACTTTCAAGTATTCTTGAGTCACTACAAAAGACATGCAAACGTGTTAGGAAAATGTGAAATTTTTTCCTCTTCACAATTTGATAACAGGTCATTACACTTGCTACTCAATTTGTGATTTTCAACGGTTCTAAGGGACAAACTCTTTACACACATTATTATGTACAGCCAAAAATCATTTTGATATAAAAACACCAAAGTGTCATCAATACAACAGAACCAACTGCCAAGTACTCGTGGAATATGTAATAAACTTTATAAACCTAAATAAATCGAGACATGAACCAACCTCTCCATTGATGGAAACTACTACCAAAATCTATTGACCAAATATATTTTACACATATTTTTTTTCTATTTATTTATAGAATTAACCTCTACATTTAAGAAAAATACAACCACCACAATATAATACCATATTACACCCTACGTCCCAATGTATTTGTCCGCTTTTCGATTTTAGGCCGTCCTAATGTATTTCTGCACTTTCCTTTTGTGGCAAAGTAATAGATGGGTAGTGACCAGTTTACCCCCAACTTAGCATAACTATGTCTCCTTCACCCCAAAATTGAATCGTAGTTATCCAATCTGTAACAAACTATCTACGTTCAACATGGCAAGAGAACAGAGGAATGTCTTTAATCTAGGGATGAGGACTTTAGAACTCAGTCTCATACGCAGAACATAACCAAAGAAAAGAGCCTTTCTTCTTTAATTTCTTCTTTAGTATCTTCTCTGAACATGAACACGGATTGAAAGATTCACGACAACAAAGCCTTTGTAGGAAAGTTTGACAAAAGCAATTTCACACATGCGGCGGCTGGCAGTGCTCAATAACTACTCTTTGGCGTGGTGGTCGTCGGTTAACAACCGACAACAGCAGACCAGTTGTGTGATGGTGGGCAATAGGCATGGTGCTCAATAGCAAATCAACGAGGTACTTGTTAATCATAAAGGTAAGGAATCGGAAGGGTTAGACAAAAGCAGATTGGCATCACTGGTTAAACAAAAGGGTTGGATGGCAGTCCTCTACCTAAATCGGTGTATTGGTCATTTCTTCGTCCTATTTAATTCTCATTGGTCCAAAAGCCAAAAATGAAAGTGGACATAACAATGGGATGAAGGGGGTATATGTTATTTCATGAGGACAACAAATAGGCATGTGGCAATACCTGATTACCAGTACTAGAAGGCTCTGAGAAAGATGCATCAGAAAATGGAAGCTCACCACTGCGCATCTTGTGCTTTTCATATTCAAATAGTCCCTACAAAAACAAGCAAGTCATCAATTCTGAAAATGCAGAACACCACAAAAAAATCAAAATAAACTACAAGAAAACAGAATAAAATTGTTTTAAAAAAGGAAAATTATATAGAAGAATATATATTTAAAATGAATGAAACAAATGAACAATTGAGAAATCATAACGTGTGAACATATACAATCTTCTGACAGAAGAGCCACTCAAACAAGATGAGTGGAATATTGACACTGAAAAAAAACAAATGAACAATTGAGAGATCATAACGTGTGAACAGTTTATTTCTGTGACTAGAATACACCCCAGTTGAATCCCACAAGAGTGGGGGTCCGGGGAGGGTGTGTGTATGCAGACCTTACCCCTACTCGAAAGTAGAGAGGCTGTTTCCAAAGAGGGCTCAACGTCGAAAGTTACATTGCTTGACAAACTGCTACTTCATTAATTAAAGAAGCACAGACATTTTAGAGATCCATTTTGATTTATTCCATCACACCCCAAAGCCAAAAAATGGTGAATTTTTGGCTCCATCGGAGATGATGGAAAGATTTGGGCAACTAGAATGTAGGTAAAATATGTATGAGAGTAAAACTATATCCACAGAGGGTAATTGGTGTTGACTGATCAAAACTCTGGCTGCAGGTGGGGCCACATTCCGGAATGCAAAACAGAAGGGGCAAAAGACTGGAGCATGACAGATGCAGCGTTCATGGGATTCAGCCTGTGAGGGCGGTTAAGGTTGCAACTTGCAAGGAGCCGAGGATGCTCTGGTGGTGTAAGTGTCAGGTGGAATGGAAACATATGATCAGAAAGCTTAGGATACACACTTGCGCAGGTTCAACATATCTTATTTTTCTGGAAGAGAGATTTTTTGGCAGAAAAAAATGATCTCCCAACAGCAGTTTCTGATGTCATGTTTGCTATGAGATGCTGAATACTTATTGTTTTTGACAATACAATGAAGAAATGCACAGGCATTTATGCTGCTTAAGTCTTCTTATATAAGTCCCTATATTTCAAAAAAATTCCTATACAACAATACTAACTTGTTTCCAGCTAAATTAACTTTACAGCAGGTTAAATACCTCTAGTTTTACAGCTATTATATAAATCTAACGAGGCTAAAAGGAACATATTAAAATAAAATAGAAAGGGACTGCAGTATATTTCAATGAGAACTTGAAACCAGTGAACCACATAGTAATCAAATTGACCATAACCTTTTCATAGAAAGACCGGAATGTCCAAGAGACAGTAGTGCAGGTCCTGCAAAAAAATTTTTTAAAAAAATGAATGTATAATGAACTGAAAAATATATAATGAGGGATTATGAACAGTACAATTCTTTATATTGTGCTCAGTTTGTTCCTTAGTCCTTACCATAAAAAACTAGGTGAACTGGAGCTCAATTAAATAATGCTAGTCAATCAAGTCTAGATAATTTTGATGGAAGGGTGAGATTGCGATCCATCCAGAAATGAAGGAAAAGCCTATTGCCAAAGTCTGAGGCCACAGTGAAACAGGGGTGGCAAAAGAATTTGTTTATCTACCATCCATCCAAAGATAAATTCATATTCGTCCATATTAAAAATAAGATGGAGGGACCTGATTAATAAGTAGGTGGTGGGTATGAAGTGGGTACATGTTACCCCAAATAGACTGCCGCCTGGCCCCATTGACATTCTCAAATCCACCAATTATAATTTGAGTAGAAATTTATCCAATCCCCCCTATTGACACCCTAAACGTGAAATAGAGGACAATCAATAACATATTCTCAGTCGATCAAGAAAGAATCAGATGAGCTTAGAGTCCCACACTCCACCTAGTTGAAAGAAAAAGAGTGCGCCTCAGAAGATCAAGTTGCCACCCAAACAATGGACTACCAATATTGGGATATCTGGAACAGATCCCCAAAACTCCACATGTGATTGCAAACAAACAATCCTGCTCGTGTATTACAAAATTTCACTACCTTATTCTTGGACTTTGGGGGTTATGATCGTTCCTAATGGAGGATCGAGAAAAAAAATCCCTTTGAAGGCCTCCNAAGAGAATGTGGGACCTGGCCACCAAATCCTTTTATGAATGTTGTTTCAATAGGTTCGTATCATAGTTTGTAAGGTGTCGCCTAGGCGATAAGGTGCTATCCCTTGGACGCCAAGTCTGCTCGCCTCACCCAGAAAACCTTAAGGCGCTCAGGCGCCCGCCTAGGCATCGCCTTACGTCTCCGTATGTGGCCTTACTCTCGCCTTGACACTTTGGGCCCCTTTAAAATTTTGAAAACCCAATTTCTCTTAGTGCAGCCCAATTTTTTTATTGCAGCTGATATATTTTGAAAACCTAGTTTAAAATGTTTAAAAAGATTTGACTTAAACTTGTGACCAATATATATCTCGTGTTTATATATATATATATATATATATATATATATATATATATATATATATATATATATATATATATATATATATATATATATATGCACATACATATATATCGGTATATATATAGGTCGCCTAGGCGATATGTAGGTACATTGGTAAGGACGAAGTAATTATGTCGAGGTACTATAGGTACATTTAATATAACTATAAATTAAATGTGCTTACCTTTTAAGTTTTAATGCAAACAATAAAAAGCTTTTTCCAATGAAAATAGCCATTTAATCTTAAATCTATCAATTGAAATTTAGTCCCAATGGTGTGTACTTCTTCGTTGTACCTATTGAGACCACCACCGCAGATATATCTACACACACACAATCCCACCGTTCCCCAAACAAGTTCACGGACTGACTACCACACAAATTTATGCAGAATCATTTTTGGTGTTTACTTTCCCATAATGCCCATAAAAATAGATTGGCTTTTTTGAGTAGAGATGGAGTTGATTTGATGAGAAGAGTATAGTTGGCATTTCAAACATAAGGTTCTTCCTTTGAAGAAAGTGAGAACTCTCTTTTGAGAGAATAAATGTTTTATGTTAATTCAGGGTTTAGGTTTATAGATCATGTAAAACACAAGTAATGACATAGTCTAGTGTTTTCAGGTCCAATGAAAACAATATTTACTTAATTGAATAAATAAGAAATACAAATACACCATACTTTGGAGGCCTAAATAATTCTCCTACTTGCCGCCATAGCTTGTTTGATGTCACCTGAACAAACAAAAAGAGAGTGCATCTAATCAATTCCATTTTTCTAAAATTTCATTGACTGTAACTTGCATTTTAGGTTTTGAGGGTACTATTTGAATGAGCTGCTATTAAGTACAGAGAAATAAACATGAAACCCATGGCAGTGTATAATGATAAAATCAAGGACAGTTTTAGATGACTTCATTTTATACATGCAGTATCCACATATATCTGATATTTTATGGTTTCTTGTTTTAACTTTTAAGAGTTAAATGAATAAAAGATCTAATTTTCTAATCACAATGGATAGCAGGTTATTAAGCTAACAAAGCATGAAATAAACCTGTTCGTGGCCACCAAGTCTGATCACTGCTCTCCATAGCCTTGTTAACATGATGAAGAAATATCAGTTCAAATGTAAGAAACTTGTCCAAAGTACAGAACAAAATTAAAATAGGAGAGTCACTAACTTGAGGTAATTCAATGGCTCTCCGTAAAACCTTAAGTGCTTGAATTCCAAGTTATTTTCCTGATGGAAGGCTTCCAATTCTTTGATGAATGCCGCTTGCTCTTCCTCTGTCCCAGACTCATCTGCTCCAACAACATTTGCATCCAACAGGAATGACTTAGGAGGAGGGTTTGCATTGAAATCATGGTGAACATCCAACTCTGAATTCAACGATCTTGTATCCACCTGACTAATTTGTAGCACCTCTTTTCCAGTTAGTGCATCAGCAAGTCCCTGGTTTGCTTCTTCAGTTAGCAACTGCTTTCTTTTTCTGGTTCCTAATGACGGAACAATATTTTTTTCACTTTTAATTTCTTCTCTGTTGCCATTTACAGTAGATAACTCCTCTGAAACCAGCATATCCTTAGGTAATTCAACAATCATAGACTGAACCTTGTTTCCATTACCGGCAGACAATTCCATTTCAGACACTGAGTTTTTCAAATTTTCAGATGTCTCAACCTTTCCACTTACTTGTGAGGAACTGTCTTTTGCAATGTATTCAGGTCCGTCACAGTGATCAAAATCAGAATAGACACTTTCAGGTTTCTCTCTTTTAGTACAAGTGTATGCATGCACAGATGACGGCATTGTTCTGTTGACAGAATCATTAGCATCTGAGTGAGATAAGGCCTTGCTGTCTACTTCAACATTGTCTTGACCAAGTCCCTGCATTGCTTCATCACTATGAATCAAGGCTTTGGGGTTACTAGTATAAGCATCAGCTGCACCTTGTGCAATTTTTTGGCTATCATCTGTCTTACAGCCCTTACTGTCTACCATCATTATTCTCAAACACCAAGAACAACTCTTTGTCCAATTTGTATCACCTGTTTCTCTTTCTTTTTTCTTTTTTTTAGTGGGAAGGGGCTTAATCACCTGTAATAAATGCAAAAAAAAATCAAAGGTTCATAACATGAAAATGTTGCCATCAAACAGAATTAACCAAAATTTCTTTTTCTATTTTGATAAACCATTAAAGTGACAAAATTTTTATTTCCCAACAAACCAAACCAAATTTATTTCAATTAATGCCATTGATTAAGCCCAATGAACTAACAGGGTCTAATATAACAGATTTATGAAAAAATAACCAAGTGACAGTTTTTTTGTATTTTGAAAAAAACAAGTGACAGTTATAATGAGCCCCAAAAAAACATGTTTCCTAACAAGCTGTTGCCATAGTACCATCTATAATGCTATTACAAATGCAGTACATACATGAATCAAATGCAACTTTAGAAATACTGCAGCAACAAGCGGTGTGGTTAAACAGTAGCCATGGGGGAATGATGTGGTGAATTTTTGTCAGCCTCCAAAGAAAATTTATGAGGTCCACCCACCCTAGCCCCATGTTTATATGGCTTAACTTAGGACATCAGCCTTAGCCCGTCAATGCTAAAGATGACAAGTTAGAACTTGTTAAAATCCTCAACTGATTAGTCCTAATAATAATACTCTGTAGTAACAATCCCAATGCAACTGCAACATCAATACATGACTTCATCTATAAAATTTACTACATTTGAAAGTGAAGTAAAATACAATTCAATCTTACAACTATCTTATTAAAGAAAGAGGCATTACCTTACAATACACCACCTTGAAGCATCAATAACAAAGTGGGCTACTTTGCATTTAATGATGAATCTAAAAGAAAAAAATCACAAAAAGTGTAATGAAAATTTGTGTTTATATTGCATATGGTGTAAGTCTATTTATAAATTTAAAACAAAAGGTAACTACCATTGTTAATACTTTCAAAAGCAGTCAACTCCAATAAATTGATTGGTTGTGATGAGTTAAGTACTATCTTAATAGAATACAAGACTGCAAGATTCTAAGGATTAGGGAACTCCTAATGGGATCAAGAACATACCCCCTACAACTAAAAACAGACTATAGAAGAAACTAGAATAGACAATAGCAAACTGCTAAACCTAATTTTCAAGTCACAGATAGCTATTCATCACAGTTTCTCATCAGCAGGAGTTCCCTAACATGGATGAAACGAGAAAGAAAAAAAACTACTTATATTCTTTCACTCTGTTATAGATTTGCAGATCAACAGAAAATTATTCCATACATCATGTTGTACCTGATTTTCATGTAGATCCAATGCGCATTATGTACATACACTAATTTTATATTCTACACGCTCTGAGTATCTACAAAAACAAATGTGCGCCTTAAGGTAATTTAATTTTTCAAGATTTAATGTTTATAGTTTTTCACATGCTTCAGCGTTATTAGAAATAAATAGAAATAACTTAAAAAAATGAAATGAACATTGTGTAATTATTAAATGTGCATACATCCATTTCATAATGTTCCAGATTTAAGCATGCTTAAAATTAATGTGCAAAATGAATGAACATTGTATGACTTGCAAATGACAGTAAAAAACCATACATCCGGATGCATAATATAGAAACTCACACATCAACTAGGGTATAAACTTGAAGGGAAGCAATCCAGAAAACTAAGAACTACATCCTAATCCCTTAAATTTCTTTAATCTTTATTTTTTGAAAAGCAATTATCTGGTCAATTCTTTACCAGATGAGTAGATAACAATCAACACAGGGAAAAATTATACAACAGATTAGGCGCTTCTTTAGTGAGAAAGCTCGTTTACTTGAAAAAATGAAAGGTTACAATGAGCCGAAATCATAGGTCGAATCAAGAATGCTCTCCGCTAACCAAAACAGCAGTTCTCGGATTGAATCTTCACGTACAACTCCGGCGACTGGGCGAAGACGGAGAGAGAGGAACTGGGAAAGACTGGACCCCAGCCGGCAGGCTAGCTCGAGAGTCGTGTGTGGGTAAAGTCAAATTTAATGTTTTCTTGAATTGTAAAAATCAAGAATAATGCTAGAGTCACAAACAAATCGTTCATAAAATTCACAAAAATACATTTTTAACACTTTCTTAGAAATAAAATGAACTTAAATAATAAAAGATATTTTAATTTAAAATCTACAAAAGGCAAGTTTGTAAAGTTTGTGAACTATATGTTTGTGACTCTAGCATTTTCCAAAAATCAATAATAAAACGTCTAATATTGGATAAAGAATAATTATACTCCGTAATTTCCAAAGAAGGTTTTACCCGTCCAAATGTACAATGCACCTTGTGTTTTTAATGTAACGCATCATGGATAATTCTTAAATACTGAATGCAGATTAATCTCTCCGTCCTGTTATATTCGTTCACTTTTGACTTTTGAAACTATTCATCTAAGCACTTTGATTCATCAAATTCTCTCAATGTGTAAGTCTAAATATAGTCATGTGTGATCTTATTTGATTTGTCTTAACATATAGATTATTAATATATAATTTCTATAATTTTTTAATATACAAATCACAAGATAAAATGAATTAAAGAAATGCATTGGATGGTGTGTAAAAATTAAATTGGACAAATACTCTGGGACGGAGGAAGTATATACTAATGGTATCTACCAAAAGAGGCTCTTACTCTTTAAGAGATTAATATTAAATCTAGAAGTAATTGTGAAGGTCCTTCAAGAAAAAATGGAAAAGATGAGGTATACGTTGAAATAAGAAAGAGAGAATGTGATAGTGATTAAAAATGTAAGAAAGATAGAATGTGATAGTGATTAAAAATGTAAGAAATGATTTAAAAAGTAAGAAAGGATTTGTAAAAATAAATAAAAAGATACAAAAAAATTGAAAAGAAAAACCAATTGTATCAAATATAGTAAGACTGGCGTAATGCCCCACGCCTAATCCGGCGTGGTCTCGTGTGGCATCTCCAGTCGGTGGCCCTCTCACGTGAACACCCCCACTCCCTCGTGACCACGTCGCGTGATACTAGTCGTGGTCACGACCAAGGTCGACTGACCGTTACTATTTTTGGTTCAATACTTCGATGCTCCAACACTCCATTTGTTAGAACCCAAAAGGTTAGATTCTATTATAATCCAAAGTGCAAATTTTGAATACTTTTTACACGTTAAATACATGTTTATAAAAGAAATTGACAACATTGAGTTTTTAGCCTTTAAATATTTTTCTATACTTAAACTGATTAAAATACATATAAGTGGAATTATGGATGGACTGTATGGACACTAAATTAAATTAGATGAAAATTGGATCCAAAATATCGGGCTAGGCACAAAAAAGCACAATCGTCTATGTTGGCACGTTCGCATCTTAATTAACCCGGCGAATACCATTTTCCCGTCTCATTATTCTGAATCCTCAACACACACACGCGATAGTTCTAGAGAGAGAACTTGAACTATGCTTATATATATATATATATATATATATATATATATATATATATATATATATATTTAAATAAAAAGAATATTTTATTAATAAAAGCGGAAAGAAGGTACAATCTCTTGAACAAGAGCAGCTCTAACATTAACAGGACAAGAATTAAAAGAAGTGTAATAAACAATAATATCATGTTTGATCCTGTCCTCTTTAGCTAAAGTATCACCTGGCCAATTTCCTTCCCGAAGAACGTGCGAAACCTCAATCCCGTTATCAAAAACCAGCCGCGAAAGAATGTCAATGGGAAATGGGGAGGCAACAAGGTGGGTGAAGTTAGAGATCCTTCTAATCACTTCAAGTGCATCCATCTCCAAGATGATTTCCTTATGGATTGACAGAGCCCATGTTAACGCATCAATAGCAGCTTGGACTTCCGCTTGGAAAGAAGAGTTGCATGAGAGTCTAAAGGAGGCTGCCCCAATGAAAGATCCTTGTTCATCACGAAGAATTCCAGCACCTCTTTGGCATGTTGGAGTGTAAGAAGCATCCACATTTAGCTTTAGTCTACCTTTAGGAGGAGCTGCCCATTTAACAATACGAACCTTTACCTCTTTTTTGAATGTGGGGAGGAGCTGCATCCTAGTAAGCCAATCATCATAAACTCTGAGTTTTTTTGGAGTTTTAATGGCTACCCATTGCTTGACATAAAGGGAAATAGTGTGTATAAGAAAATTAGTGTTGATAGCCGAGATTTCACCATGGATAATGGCATTGAGATGTTTCCATATGTGCCAACAGATCATAGAGGGTACATGCTTTCTAAGGAAACCATGAATATTGTTAGTTCCCCGCAGCCACCAGTTCAAAAATGCTGATTCACTGAGGAAGCTCGAAGGTGATGAAAACTGAGGCTTATAGAGAAATGTCTCCAAATAACTCCCAGTGCCGGGCAGTTAATTAGTGAGTGTAACATTGTTAAAGAAGAAGATCTACAAAAAGGACATATAGAAGGTAATTGATAGCCAAGTTTCTGCAGATTATCAGGGGTAGGCAAACATCCATGAAGAAGTTTCCACATAAAGATGTTGTCTTTGGGGATCTGAGGGGTTTCCCAAATAAACTTGAATGACGCAGCAGCATTGGAAGGAATCCTACAATATTCATATGCAGATTTTAAGGAGAAAAGCCCTTGTGGATCATCAGCCCAAGAGAAGCTGCCATCATCATTGTGGTAGCAAAGATTATGAGCATTTTCAGCAATCCGAGATATCCTCTTCCAAATGGGAGAGTCAATACGATGGGACACCATATCACCTTTTCTCCAGTATTTAGTCCTCATGAATTTAGTCCAAAGGCAGTCTGTTTGAGTCACCTTCCACCAAAGCTTGCAAGAGAATGCTAGTTCAAGTGCCTTGAGGTCTCTGATTCCCAGGCCACCTTCTTCCTTTGGGCGACAAAGCTTCTTCCACTGAATCCAATGATGCTTCTTGTTATCCTAATTAGTTAATACGCGTATAATACACATATTATACTTACGTACGTATAATATGCGTATTATACTCACGTATCCGTATGATTGTCAAAAATACTTTAAAATACACGTATATTTGATAATATACGTATAATTACGTATAGTACGTATTAATTGAATGTTTCATCATAATTTTTTTTGTACAACAAATACTCCCTCTGTCCACCATAGATCTTCCCACACACTATTCACAGGGTCAAACTTTATTCACTTTGTTTGCTCATTTTTATTAGTCATTTTGTAAGATAATATAGCCTTGTCACCTCTAGTTTTGTAGAACTTTTCATGTAGTTTATTACTATATAAATTTTATATTAAAATTTTACTCCTATAATCAATTAAATTGAATTGAAAAAATAAAGTCGGTCAAGCCTCGTAACGCGTAACGGGAAGATCTTAGGTGGACGGAGGGAGTATTAATTTGTTCCAAAAAAAATAATTAAACAAAATACGAGTAATACTTCATATCAGTTATATATACAATACTCAATCAATTTGAAAAAATATATACTATCTACATTCTACAAAGAATTTTACACGTTTTTGTCACGTTCAAAAGAAGACTTCACTCTCTTCCTTTTTGTATGTCTTAAAAATTCATTTTCTTTTAGAACGGAACGAGTAACTCACAACTCTTATTTGTTTTTTCTAAATATATTCAAACTATAAAGTTTTTATTTTTAACATTTTTTTAAACTACGTACGTGAAAGTCAGTAAGAAATTTTTTTCAAATGACGTGAGTATATATTTTTTTCAAATAAATATATTAAATAAATAGAGATTCTAATTTGAAAAAGTCTATTGTAAATATTTCACTTAAAATATTTTTTTATTTTTTTATTTACCCTAATATAAATTGATGACTATCAATCGATAAATATGTGTAAAGTTGACGTATATATGATAATATATATAAACATATAATAAGACGTATTTTAAAAATAGAAAACGTTTAAAACGCGTACGTATCCGTATGCCGAACGTTTAATATGTATAGTAAGCCGTATTTTATAAAATCCTAACGTATTATACACGAACGTACGTATTTACGTATTATACGTTTGCCGTATATTACTAACTATGCTTGTTATTACCACCCCACCAAAACTGAGCCATTTTTTGCTCCAAGATTTGTTGAATAGATTTTGGTAGTGTAGAGGCCGAAAGAAAATAGTTAGGGATGGTGTTGAGGACGTGATTAATAAGAATCAATCTGCCTGCTTGGTCTAGGTTCCTTTGGAACCAACCATTAAGCTTTTTATCAAAAGAGTGGATAATATGAGTGCAATGAATACTTCTAGTGATGCCCAGATCAATTGGAACTCCAAGATAAGTGAAAGGTAAAAGTTTAAAAGGCATGTTCAAGACATGCTATAGTCTGGAGATTAGGCTTTGATTGGCTTTCTTACCAACTACAAAGCTGCTTTTGTGATAGTTGATAATCTGACCAGAAACAAGTTGGTAATCTTCAAGGAACTTCTTTAGATTCAAAATAGATCTAGCATGGCCCGAGGAGAAAATAATAATATCATCAGCATATGAGAGATGAGTAATTGGAATGCTATTGGTGCCACAGTTGAACACATCAATCTTGCCTTGAGAGAAAAGATTCTTGAGGTTCCTAGAGAAGCCTTCATTAGCAATAATAAATAAAAGAGGAGTCTGTTTGAGTCACCTTCTCAGTTCCCAGAATTTTAATTTGATTTTTATTTGCTTGGTGTTCTTCGCCGCTTGAAGACAATCGAGCAGGCAGCACGGCCAAGAAGCACTTGGTGGTTTTGGACGGCAGCAAAAATAGATGCTCTAGTGTTAGCGGTCGGAGAGAAGAAAGTTGAGCGAGAGATCGGCACTCTGATCTGATCTCGCTCTTTGATGACGAGATTCAATTTTTTCTTCTCCATGTTAAACTTTTTTCCTAGGGCTAAGTCCGCCATTTCTTTCCTACAAAAGACATTCATTCAAATGGGTCTGTTTTCTTCTTTTAGATTAGGAATTCTTAACAAATCTCATATTCTTTAAAAAAATTATAT